GATCTTTAACCGCCCTCCCCTGCCACAAACTCACATAGCCCCCTCCCCCCCCCCCCCGAACATGAAAACCACCTCCCAGACTGACCAGGGTGCCTAGTGACTGCAATGTGTGTGTGACTTTCTGCTGAACCTACTCCCGTGTCTGTACCCTGGTAAAGGTGACCGTCCTCTCCAATTACCAACCCCCTTTCCCCCCTTCCTCTAAAAGAACATGACGGAAACAATAATGAACAGAAACATATGTTTTATTAACAACAACTCAGGGGATGAAACTGGGACGGGGGCTTGGGTGAGGTGCTTTTGGAGTGAAGGAAAGGACTTATCAAATCTTTGGGAATGAGAGCCTTCTGTTACTTGAGCAGGCTGCAGGGGTGGAGTGACTGTTTTCACGGCCCCTGCCGCCCCTCCTTCTTGGGACTTTGGGTGAGGGGGGGATGGGACTTTGTGGGGTGGGAGGGCGGTTAGAGAGAGTGCAGTGGGGCTCTGTCCTCCTGCCTCCGGTCCTGCAGAACATCCACAAGGTGCCAGAGCATGTCCGTTTGCTCCCTCATTAGTCCAAGCAGCGTTTGAGTCGCCTGCTGGTCTTCCTGCCACCACCTGTCCTCCCGTTCGCTGTGTGATCACTGGTATTGCGACATGTTCTTCCTCCACTGGGTCTGCTGTGCCGCCTTGGCTCGGGAGCAGCCCATAAGTTCTGAGAACATCTCGTCCCGTGTCCTTCTCTTTCGTCGCCTGATCTGCGCCAGCCTCTGGGAGGGGGATGTCAGGGTAGCTCGGGAGACACTCGCAGCTGTGGGATGGGGAAAAGGGAGTGAATTCCTCAGAAAGATACAGTTTTGCGAACAATGAATATAGTCTTTCTCTGTGAACAAGACCATGCACAGCACCTATCACATGCGCACTCAGTACAAGGTCGAATTTTTGGCCTTCCCATTGAGTGCCTGGGGTCTTGCTGTACAGATCACACAAGCGGGGCCGGACAACGGAATTCGGCTAGCAGGCGGACATAGTAAGCCGTAGACTTTTGGCTGCTTAAAGCTTAATTTATAGCAGTGCCCTCCTTTCACGTTCCAAGCACTGCTCCTAGGGTCGGCCAGTTCCTGCTGCCAGCAGTCCGGCCAGCATGAACTCTGTCCCTGTCCCACCCCCCTCGCGGCTGTCCCCGGGAAAGATCCCTGCATGCTGCTCCTGTCACGCCTCCACCGCGTGGCTGTAAACGGCCAGTTACAGTTGCGTAAAGGAACAGGCAATCAGTCCCAATACTAACATTTCCCTAATTCAAAGCAGGTCACCATGAGCGATATCACTCTGATGAGGATTTCGGAGACCGAGAAAGACTGCATGCTGCGTGAATGCCAGCAAGCACCAGGGCCGTATGCCGCCATGCTTTGCGAGGCAATGATCCCAGAGTACTTGCTGCTAGCCTGGCGCGGAAAAGTTTCCTACCATGGAGGACGCAATAAGGCCGCTCTCCCCAGGAACCTGATGCAAAGGCTTTCACAATACCTCCAGGAGACCTTCGTGGAGATGTCCCAGGAGGATTTCTGCTCTATCCCCGGACATATTGACAGAATTTTCCAGTAGCTGCACTGGCAAGGACTAAAAACTAAAGCGCCTAGGGCAAACTAATCATGAAAAACCCATTGTTAAGATACCATTCCTATTCTGTTCAAAATAAATGTTTAAAACACTTACCTACTGATGTTTCCCCTGATTCACAGTCTGGGTTACCGCCTAGGGAGGATTGGTAGGGGATCTCCGTGAGGGTGATGAAGAGATCCTGGCTGTCGGGGAAATCAGCGCTGTCGACTGCCTCGTCCTCCTCATCTCCTTCCTCATCTTCCCCGTCTGCGAACATCTCTGAGGAAGCGGCCGTGGACAGTACCCCATCGTCAGAGTCCACGGACAGTGGTGGGGTAGTGGTGGCGGCCGCACCTAGAATGGAATGCAGTGCCTCGTAGAAACGGCATGTCTGGGGCTGGGATCCAGAGCGTCCGTTTGACCCTTTGGTCTTCTGGTACCCTTGTCTCAGCTCCTTGATTTTCACGCGGCACTGCGTTGCATCCCGGCTGTATCTTCTCTCCGTCATGGCTTTGGAGATCTTCTCATAGATCTTCACATTCTGTTTTTTCGATCGCAGCTCCGAAAGCACGGACTCCTCGCCCCACACAGCGATCAGATCCAAGACTTCCCGATCAGTCCATGCTGGGGCCCTCTTTCTATTTTGCGATTACATGGTCACCTCTGCTGGAGAGCTCTGCATCGTTGCCAGTGCTGCTGAGCTCGCCACGATGTCCAAACAGGAAATGAGATTCAAACTGGCCAGACAGGAAAAGGAATTAAAATTTTCCCGGGGCTTTTCCTGTGTGGCTGGTCAGAGCATCCGAGCTCGGACTGCTGTCCAGAGCATCAGAATGGTGCACTGTGGGATAGCTCCCGGAGCTATTCGCGTAGAATTCCATCCACACCTACCCTAATTCGACATGGCCATGTCGAATTTAGCGCTACTCCCCTCGTCAGGGAGGAGTACAGAAATCGATTTAAAGAGACCTCTCTGTCAAAATAAATAGCTTTGTGTGGACGGGTGCAGGGTTAATTCGAGTTAACGCTGCTACATTCGACATAACCTCCTAGTGTAGACCAGGCCTAAGACATTTATCTATGATCAGGCTGACACATTAATAGGAAAGTAATGCCATTGGCATAAGGAAGTATTGTCTTTGAGAGAAATTTGTATATGCTTGTGTTTCTCTGGAGTTGGTTGCCAGTCCCCTTTCTGGTTTTGTTGTACTACGTAGCAAACTTTTAGCAGGTATCCCTATATTTACAGGCAATGGCTAGCAGCATCTGACTCTCTTTCCTTCAAATATTTCTGAGTGGTGTCCTTCAGGGTTAACTTTTCTGCAGTAAGGGAATGACAGCTATATTGCAGATTGTTAGGCAGCTTGTTTGCTGCAACAGCCATTTCATCAATAGAATTCATTGTTTACTGACTAATTCAGGAACTCTGCCTTTTTGCAGTTTCTTACATGGCCATTTGACTCTTTCAATACGGTTACATTTCAAACCAGATGCCAAGAAATCCGCTATCATTACAGTGTATCTTATATTTTACATACTTTGTGTGTATATATGGGTTTTTAAAACATTGCTTTTATCCTCAGGTTCACCAGAGTGGTTCTGGATGGTCTCCGGTGGTAAGCTAGTGAGGTTTTTTCTTTTCTTTAAAAAAAAAAAGCAGTTTAGGAGGGCCTATTCCAGAGAGAAACTAGAACTATTTTCTCCCTCCTACCCACTCTTTTTCCATACACAGAAGTCCTGCTTCTTAAAGAGGCACTACAGGTTAAACATCATAGCTTTATAAAAATTCCTTCTGTTACTAACATCACAGTGGGTTATTATAACTGAACATTTTAAAACAAAGTAAAGTTTCGCTTTTTCAACTATTTCCCTTTGCACTTATTTTGGTTTGGACAACGAAAATAGACTAGTCGGTTTCAATTATTTTTGGTTCTCATGCACTTGCATAATACTTCACTTCCGGTTATAATAAAACTGTAGATAATTAAATCCCAAGGAATAACAGCGGTGATGTTATTAACAAAATGCATGGAAATAGTTCAGATTTTGTTCAAACTTTTGTACATGCCACCACACACACATTTTTCTGATGCTGAGAGAGAAAGGGAAGTTATCTGTTTGTAAAAGGCTCTTTAATATGTAAATATAGTCAGATTACTGATTGTTGTACAGAAATCGTGCAGCCTTTGACTGATGGAGGAAAAGTAGGGCCGCTGCATTTTTTCAAACATCCATTTTCTTAAACTATGTTTTGATCCATTAAAATCTTTCAAGAACTGGTAAGGATATTATTTTGGTAAGTAAATTTCTTTCTGGGCTATCTTAATAGTATGCTTCCTCTTTTCTAGTATGTTGAAGAAAACTTGTGTGTAATGTCTGTGGGGTTCTTGCTCAGTGGTCCTGATGATGCTGTTATCTGGAGAGGACCCAAAAAAAACGGTCTGTATCTCAAGTATTTTCATTGTTGTTGATTGTTGCATCGGGGAGCATAAACTATTGCAATTTAGACAGTGCTTCCTTTTTTCCATATAAAACTTGGTTTGTTGGCAAAGCAGTTATTCTGAGCATTTCCTTTCACTCTGGGGTGGTTATCGTATATTGAACTGAGCTCTCTAACATAATCAGAACAACTTAGTTTAGACTGGCTAGATGGAAACTAAGGAGTCTATATTTGATAAAATATCATTGCATGCATACTACTGATTAACGTGTACATTTGATACTTTTTTCACACTTGGGCAGAATTTATATCTATAGTTTATTGCTCCTTGTTAACACAGGTCTGATGAACTTTCTAAATAGGCATGGATATTGATCACGTTTTAAAAAAGATTCCTAAATTGATTGCATATCTGAAAGAAATTGCAATATTCAACATCATAATTTTCAAGTTACCTGATGTTCAGGGTGTGTGTGTGGTGTGTGGTTTTTTTGTTTGTTTTTTTGTAAATGAATGTAGCTAGCAAAACTTATTTGGTTGATAATTCAACCTTTTACATGTATACTATTTGTTTTTACTATCCTTTTGTGCATAAAAGAAAACTGGAAGTAGACCATTTGGTTATGGCAATAGATAATAATATTCTTTTGAGCCAGTTTTGCTGATGAATTTATGTAAAAAAACTGCTTATCCTTTTTTCAGAACTTAACGTGTGATTTCCATGTTACCGCAGATTTAAAATTACTTTGTTTTAGCCCTTTCGGTCCCACATCTCATTGCTTTCTGCTTACATTTTCTGCTGAATTTTCTGAAATAGAATGTACCTAGCTTTTTATTGATAACACTCAATTCTAGTTTGACAGTGCATACGTTAAAGTATAGAGAAATTTGAGTAGAATGCTCTGGAAGTATAACTTAAGGGGCAGATCTTTCTGAAACAGTGATTCTGTACTGATATTAATAGAGAGTCCTGTGGCATCTTCTAGACTAACAGATGTATTGGAGCATAAGCTTTTGTGGGTGAATACGAAATTATAAGGTGCCACAGGACTCTTTGTTGCTTTTTACAGATCCAGACTAACATGGCTACCCCTCTGATACTGTACTGATATTGTGAGGGTCCAGGATTGTTGTATCCAAAACCACCTATATTTAAAATGATCAGCTGAAAAGATGGGATCTGAGAGTAAAACTGAATTCTTTATTTTATAGCATTACTACCAGTAATGAAACTTCTGACAGCAAAATTATGGCTTCAGTGACCTCTTTTATCACTTGCCATAGATGCACTTTTGCAGATGTAACTGACTGGAACTTGCTAAATAATTCCGATACATGTGAAGTAATAGAATCCACCTCACTCATCTGTGTTGGCTCTGCACTGTTCTGTTAACAGGAGTAAAAATATATATTTGCTGAAGTCAGACAGAGCAGATATTTTGAGTGAGAAGGTCCCATTTTACATACTCTCCTTGCAGAATAGACCCATGCTTTGAGATTGAGTGTGGCTGCAGTCATATTTGGGGTAATCGTTTAGCACAGAACAGATTCTCAAAGTGCCTTTCAGACTTTCTGAACAACCGACCAAATTCTGAATGTCTCACTAAAGCTTTTGGCTCCTTTAAGTTTACAACGGAGATTGAGGAAACTGCACACCTGAAATTTAGAAACATACAAGCTAGAAAATAACAAATTTGTTATTCATCTTGCATCTGTTTTTAGGAATGATCAAACAATTTCTTCGTGATGTGGATTGGGGTGAAATTGACTACCTTATTGTGGATACACCTCCAGGTACTTCAGATGAACATTTATCTATTGTGCAATATCTAAGTTCCTCACACATAGATGGAGCAGTTATAATCACTACTCCTCAGGTAAGAGAAGTATCGCTACAAATTTAATACCAGTTAAATCAAATCTTTGCTTTGGAACACTTATTAAATTTACAGAAATGACTATGTCCATCAACTATAGCATGTAGGCACAAAGGAATGCCTCTCCATGGAAGGAGATGATTTAACTCCGCCAATTGGCTTCAGAATCTTCTTCCTGCCCTTTGGGATCCATGCCCAGCACAATCCTTTCATCACAACCAAATTATTGGATGCTGATCCTTAGAAATCAAATAATTTTCTCATTGAAATGACACTATGCTGAACTTCTATACAGCTCTGTGGCATGTTAGAGACTTCCTGAAGGCAAAGGACTCTGAACTTGCAATACTGTTGACTTACAGATGGTGCTAGGAGGGAAGTAAGGAATTATAACATTAGACAGCAGGAAGATACTAGTGATGTTGGGGTGGGGGGAATGGTGGTGAGCTTTTATTTATTTAAGGACAGTAGAACCTCTGGGTTAGTATACTTTTCCTTGGGATGTGTATAGTGGTTGGTTGGTTGTTTTTTGGGGGGGGAGGGGGCGGCTTTTTGTTTGAAGTCAGGCACCAGTGCTAAGATTAGTGGCAGAAGTCTAGCTAAATCAAAGGTACATTCTTAGTGGGCAATTTGAAGGAGGGAGAGAAGAGGCCAATTGTGCAGGATGAGGCACAGTTTTCCAGGAGTAGGAGCAACAAGAAAATGTCCAGAGGCACAAGTGGCAGGAAACAAGTGGAATACTAAATAGGGAGTAGTGAGCAGAATGCAAGGGATGTGGTAGGAGGGAGTGGAAGGGAATGAAGTCAAACGTGGTTTTAGTAAAGGGAAATCATGCCTCACCAATCTACTATAAATATCTGAGGGGGTCAACAAGCATATGGACCAAGGGGATCCAGTGGATATAGTGTACTTAGATTTTCAGAAAACCCTTGACAGGGCCTCACCAAAGGCTCTTATGCAAAGTAAGCTGCCATTGGATAAGAGGGAAGGTGTTCTCATGGATTGGTAACTGGTTAAAAGATAGGAAACAAAGGGTAGGTATAAATGGTCAGTTTTCAGAATGGAGAGAGGTAAATAGTGGTGTCCCCCAGGGGTCTGTTCTGGGCTCAGTCCTATTCAACATATTCATAAATGATCTGGAAAAAGGGGTAAACAGTGAGGTGACAAAATTTGCAGATGATACAAAATTACTAAAGATAGTTAAGACCCAGGCAGACTGCGAAGAGCTACAAAGGGATCTCTCAAAACTGGGTGACTGGGCAACAAAATGGCAGATGAAATTGAATGTTGATAAATGCAAAGTAATGCACTTTGGAAAGCATAATCCCAACTATACATATGAAGCGATGGGGTCTAAATTAGCTGTTCCCACTCAAGAAAGAGATCTTGGAGTCATTGTGGATAGTTCTCTCAAAACATCCACTCAATGTGCAGGGCAGTAAAAAAAAGCAAACAGAAGATGGGAATAATTAAGAAGGGAATAGAAAATAGGACAGAAAATATCATGTTGTCTCTATAAATCCATGGTACGCCCACATCTTGAATATTGCGTGCAAATGTGGTCACCCCATCTCAAAAAAGAGGTATTGGAATTGGAAAAGGTTCAGAAAAGGGCAACAAAAATGATTAGGGGAATGGAATGGCTTCTGTATGAGGAGAGATCAATAAGATTGGGACTTTTCAGCTTGGAAAAGAGACAGCTAAGGAGAGAGATGATTGAGGTCTATAAAATCATGACTGGTGTAGAGAAAGTAGATGAAGTGTTGTTTACTACTCATAACACAAGAACTAGGGGTCACCAAATGAAATTAATAGGCAGCAGGTTTAAAACAAACAAAAGGAAGTATTTATTCACACAACGCACAGTCAGCCTGTGGAACTCCTTGCCAGAGGATGTTGTGAATGTGAAGACCATAACAGGGTTCAAAAAAGAACTAAATAAATTCACGCAGGATAGGTCTATCGATGGTCTATTAGCCAGGATGGGCAGGAATGTTGTCCCTAGCCTCTGTTTGCCAGAAGCTGGGAATGAGCGACGGGATGGATCACTTGATGATTCCCTGTTCTGTTCATTCCCTCTGGGGCACCTGGCCCTGGCCACTGTTGGAAGACAGGATACTGGGCTAGATGGGCCTTTGGTCTGACCCAGTCTGGCCATTCCTATGTTATGTAGGCATGTTTAATGAGAAAGGGGAGGGTTAGAGAGTGGTGTTAGAATCATAGAATATCAGGGTTGGAAGGGACCTCAGGAGGTTATCTAGTCCAACCCCCTGCTCAAAGCAGGCCCAATTCCCAAACAGATTTTTGCCCCAGATCCCTAAATGGCCCACTCAAGGATTGAACTCACAACCCTGGGTTTAATAGGCCAATGCTCAAACCACTGAGCTCCCCCCATTAGAATTGACTTTGGAAAGAGCAAGTAAACCCGTTCCTGCACATCTTCCTCAACACCTTCACCAGATTAGTTTACAGAAAGACATCAAAAAACTAAACTAGTAGGTGCAAAAGTAATATTTGCATAATCCCTTTATTTAAAGAATACTTTTCTCTGAAGATATGACATTAATGCAGGTGATATGCATAAAGATGGTTGATCCCATGCCAGAGTTGTTGGACAGATTTAAAGATGTTGGAAGCTAAATTGGTTGAATAAAGATCTAAATAGCTTGATAATCTTTGGTCAGTCTCAAGACAGAAGATACCTTAATTCAGTAAACCAGATAATAGGTTATATGTTTAATCTGATGGTGGAAAACATGCTCAGTTGCTGGAAAGATTTCTGTGCTAAGAAAGTTTGCTTTGCAGGGAAAATCAATAGATGGAAAAAGTCCGGTACATGTGGACTGACAAAATAACACTTGCTTTTGATAGGAAATATCACTTCAGGATGTTCGAAAGGAGATCAACTTCTGTCATAAGGTGAAATTGCCGATCATAGGTGTTGTTGAAAATATGAGTGGCTTTGTATGCCCAAAATGTAAGGTAAGGCTATCTAAAACTTATTGCTAAGATTTTCACTCGTCTTAATATACGCAGTCCAAATGTATGTATGTTTTGTGGTGACCATATGGGAAGGGAAAGGATTTACTTATCATGGCACAAACTTGCTTGATATCTTGAATAAAAAAAAATCCTGTTTCTGTTGGTGGAAACAGTATCAAGCTCCTTTATACAGGAACTGTTGTCCTTAGATAGTTACGAAAGGTGCATTCCCGAGGCCAAGGATTAGTTTTGTAGCTCCTTTTAGGAGCCAGAACACTGTATAAAAATAGCAGTTTTGAAATGGAGGCTTCAGCTACACAGCAGGATGTTACATGTTCGACATCTGTATTTGAACAATAGACCTACTTTAAGATCTGTGTTTAACAACTCTGTCTTAAATGCTCCTATTATGAGGAGCCACTGGCTGGCATCTCTGAATAGCTGATGTGGGTTGTTGCATCCTCCCTTCTTGTTTAGTTTTGCTGCTAAAAGCTTATGCAAACATTTAGATGTTTCTGTATTACTAACAATTTCCTTTCGATGTTGAACTCCTGATACCCGTTATATAAGTGACCTTCATGTACTGCTTTTGCTTCAGAACTTTCCTGGCACTTTCAACACAGGAAAGTACAAACTGGGAGCATTATGGAATGGGGTGTAGCTACACTGTGTACCTTAATCATTTTCTAAAAACAATCCGGCATGGGAATGTATGTGCCAGTCATTATAAACATGGAATCTGAGGATTGGGCTAGGAAGGGAACAAGATGACAAATGACATGTTACTGACCCAGTTAGAGAAGGAACTGAAGGATGGTAACGACCAATCAAACATGCAGACTAATGCACGATCAGCTTGTCTTGGGGATGTGGGTCCATGGGTTTCAGGTGAGTTCCTTGGCATCAACCTATTACCCATTTGAACACATCCTCAAAGCAATATGAGTGCTTGAAAAATCAGACATAATTGTCAGTCTCTGCTCACGAGTCCCAGGTATTGGAAAGAATTAGGTTTTTGCAGGTCAGAATTAAAAAATAGTGACAGCTTTTGGCTGGCCACGCTGTCTGCTTTCAAATCCCTTGCTCTTGCAAATTTAAATTCTAACACACACCGCTTTAAAATTAGGATTTTGTATATACCACAATAAATGTCTTGGAGAAATAGTAACCTAAACTAGACAAATAGAGGACAAATGTATTTGAAATGGTACTTGTGATTTATATATACACCTAAAGTGCTCTTAATGATTTGTGTGAAAGCTTAAGTCAAATGTTTTAATTGGGTAGAACTCTAATGTGTTTAATGATAGTATGCCAGGAACCTACTGCACATAGCCATCAGAAGCCCACAATGTTGGTCCTGTTTTAATTGGGATTTCAATAAGTGATGTTTGGAACATACCACTAAACAAAACTGAAGAACTGTTGTTCTCAAAATGATCTTTTCTGGCGTCGTCTTATATTACTTGTCCTTTTTTCTTTTATGTTACAGATTGAATCTCAGATCTTTCCTCCAACAACTGGAGGAGCAGAGAAGATGTGCCAAAATTTAAATATTTCTCTCCTGGGGAAAGTGCCCCTAGATCCTCAAATAGGTAAGCTTGGCAAATTGCATAATAAAAAGCAGCAATGTGCTTGCCATTACTTCAGGGTTATTTTTGGTGTATCAGCTAAGGTTTAGACATACTCACTTTGATGAACACAAAACAGTGTCCAATAGCTGACTTTTTTAGAATGAAAATTGTTGCAAATATAGTTTGTGGAACGGTGATGATATGGTTTGGTCTGAAATGAGTAAAACAATGAGAGAACTTCCTGCTTAGGTTTAAATCAGGCCTGCACAACTTGTAAAACAGCGAGGGCCATATTACTCCAAAGAAAACAGCTGAGGGCGAAACCCCGGACCCGCCGAACCCCCACGACCCGACCCCCCCAGCATTGCCCCCCCATGGAACCCCCCAGCACCACTACCCCCCCCCCCCCCCCC